CGCTTTTCTTCGTATGGAATGGAGAAGGTGTTGTATAACGCTTTTCTTCGTATGGAATGGAGAAGGTGTTGTGTAACTGTCCTCTTCATATGGAATGGAGAAGGTGTTGTGTAACGTTCTTCATTCAGGATGAAGAAATTGTTATCATTACTACAGAATAGCAAATAAATTGTGCAGTCATAAGTTTATAACTCTATGATTGTGAAATGTTGATCCAAATGTTCCATACTAAGCACCACAATGCAGCAAAGTTGTTTGTTTCCGTTTGATCGTCTCATTTTCCATATAAGCTCATATAACCTTAATAATATTCATATCAGTACTTTTTTTTAGGCCAAGCCATTGTTTCGACTGTTCTATCGTCTCTTTTTTTTTCTTCTTCAGTTATCGTTTCATCACATTCTGCACACTTAGTTAATTCCTGCCCAACGGGTCTTGTTCCTGAGGAAATTATATGATGGAAAAAAAATATGTTGTACCTTTTTGCAGTCAGAGTGCCATCAATTTTGTATAGATCTCCAACATCATACGTTAAGATGCAGTTAATATTGATTTTGCCCACTTACTCTAGCATACTTCACTTTTAGATGCTGCACCCTGGCTCTGATATCATTCGCTTTTCTGCCATAAAACAAACAATCGTTGATCGTGCCAAACAGTTTAAATTTTGATTCATCTGTAAAGAACAACCTCTTCCAGCTTTATCCATTCCGTTATTTGAAGTCTGATACCCAATTCAGCTCGTTGAGTTATCTCTCATAATCAGTGGTTTTTGAGCAACTAAAATCTATTAAATCCACTTCATGCTAATGTGTATCGTAAGTTCTGGAAGTAGCATTCACACCTGTATTTAAATCAAGGTTTTGGCAAACTGTCTGTCGCGAATCACTTAAAATGCCTACTTTTAATTGCTTAGGTTTTAAGAATTTGGGTTTTTTACGTGACTGCCTCTATTATTAACAGTGCTAATTTTACATACTCTCTTAAGAATTTCCATAGAGGTCATGCTAAAACATGAAATTTCGACTCACTCTGTTGTATGAAGAAAACATCCTTCACCAGCTAAAATGTTTGTCATGTCCCAGGTATTATGAGTTCATTCACTACACTACTGCTGAGAATAATATTACTGACTTACTTATATATATAGATAGGCATTATACCAATGTGGCATTGTCAGATTGGTTGAATGAAAGCCAATCACAATGCAAACCTTTAACATGTGAATGCTGTTAATTTTCGTAGAATGGATTAAGAAAAATCTCAATACTCGCAATTTATTCATCGTTTTCATAAATCATTTTCAATAATACACACACACACACACACACACATATATATAGAGAGAGAGTTCCCGTTGTCAGTCCTAAATGTAACCTTAAAGTAATAGTGGATAATGCCTGTGGTAGTAGCTCCCAAACGTATTGGAGATATCCCATGTATCAGAGAAACTCCAAACGCTGATGTTAAACTAGCCAGCAAACATGGAAAATCAATTAAGGGTATCGAGTTGAGGGTGCTTACGCCCACAACATTTCAACTCCTACTCCTCTTCACTGTCTACAACCAGTTGTGGGAAGGCAGTTACCCATACAAGTTCTTATAGTTCCTAAATGTGCTGGATAGTTTTATCAGCGTTTGGATTTTGTCTGATAGATGGAATCTCCCCAACGCATTTTGGGAGCTATTACCACAGGCAATATCTGCTATGACTTTAAGGTGACAACTAAGACTGACAATTGGAACCTTATCAAAATCTTTTTAATTGTTGTTTTATAGTGCTGATTTTAACCGCCTTTTAACAATTAATGTAATTAATATTATTTGAGCTATTTATTTCATTATATATATATATATATATACATCTAGTTATATACTTTTTTGTATCACCTACACTATATGATTTAATATTTTTACATATAAACATATATCCACACAATCTCTCAGAGTATCTCTGACGATGTTCTAGTTGTTAGAACAATTAAGTTTTACAGATAATATAGATATTCTGCTAACCATTGAAACAAACCACAAAGAGCACATGCTGGAAAGTATCTTAAAACTTCCCTGTATTAATATAGAAATTTACTAAATTTGTTATTTTGTGCAGTTTTCACATCATGTTGGTCAAGAATGTCGTTAAATTCCTTTCACTTTAGCTCTCCATTGTTCTGTGTCATTCACCTAGAGTCACAACCTTAGTACAAGATCACTCATGGTATATGAAGCTAGAGAGGTATCGTTTATGTTATCAGTAAGTTGACCTCTGTAGGTAACGACCTCTTTAGTATTTCATTGGAGAATAACAAATCATGTGTATTGTCACTCACTGTCATTGATAAGTCTGACGTTAATGATTCAAGTATCTAACGTGAGAATTATTCAATATGGAACAAAATTTCAGCAGCGTAGTCTGGAATACGATATCGGAGAGACACAGTTTCAAACTTGAGATCAGTAAGTTGATATTAGAAGCGAACTCTCCTGTAGAGGCAAACTTCCTTTATGATATGCATATTAACTGTGTTTGTTTTAAACTATAAAACATTTTATGACATTTTTCGAAAACTCTGTAATAAGAAATTGGTGTTACAAGAGTCTAGAAAATTAAAAAATACTCATGTTGCCAGTGTCTGTTCATTCGAAAATTTTGGTTGAGGTATTAGTTTCAAACTCCCTTTTCAATACTAAACCATAACTGAGATACACAAAGAATGTTAAAGTTCGAATTTAAATTTTTTAAGAAAATGATAGTTTGCAGTAAAGTCGTATGAAATCGTGTGGATACTGTTGTCTCAATTGACAACGAAATGAATATATAATATATATGAAATGAGCAAATTCGTACTTTATGTAGTAATAGACTAAATTCTACTTGGCTACTAAAACAGCAAATTAATATAATATGAATGTATTAGAATTTGAATAAAACATTTAGCTTTTCATATTGATAATTATATTTTAGGCATTATATGTCAGTGGATTATTTGTTTGTTTGTAATTAAGCTCAAAGCTACACAATGGGCTATCTAGCGGTTTCTAGCGTTGTAAGTCCGCAGACATATTGTTGTTTCACTGGGGGAGGTATGCCAATGGAAAAATTCAATTAGTTCATACAATACATTAAGCATTCAATTTTTAAGTGTGTTTTTACAACGTATTTATTTGGTAATGGTGCACTCGAAAGTAACATAAAATAAGCAACAACTGTATTCATCCCATTGTATGTAATCCTATGATAATCTGATGAACACAATATACGCTCTCTCGTCATCAAAGCTGTATACAGAACATATTGCACATACGCTTAACCTCATTAGCATAAATGAAACGTAATCCAAACATTTCCTTCCACAATGTCACGTGAGGAACACGTCACATACGTTCTTGATCTCACTAACATGACCAAAAATAATTAACCCTTTTTTTTACGTTAAGGCCATGTGCGGAACAAATTGTACACTTTCTCTCTCTCTAGTAACTTAGCTATTGTTTATTTCAGAGCGACGCCTAGAGTCATTAATTTTCATTAAAGTGACACATAAATATCAAGTAAACTTTTCGTTCCTCACACGTTCCTGTCACATAGAATGAATCAACTAACAGACAAACAGGTAAGATAGTCTACGTATCTAATAATCATATGTGAACAGCAATATTTCCCCACAGTGAAAAGGATAAACAGAGCTGTAAATAAAACGTCTTCGGTTGATGTTGTTTAGAAGCTGACTCCCTGTGACACGCAGCTGAAAGATTGCCACACTCCACTGATAAAACCAGACATTAGTTTCTTGCCAACTAAAAGGCTGAGGAAAATTAGAGTCGATTTGCTACACGTTCACAACTAAAGGCGAGGTCTTAATTACAGTTTTCAGTGACAGAACGCCTTCATTAAAAGCTCAATAATTCTTTGTTCATCTTTATGAGGAAGAGCTGGTCTGCTCGTTATCGAGAATATCTTTACCACTCAGTTGGCTGGTTGTTTATGTGCTTTACGAGATACTTATTGAGTATTCCCTAAGGCAACTCCGTCCAGAAAAAAAAATCATTTCAGCTTTTCTTGTAATCCAAGACTATTCTCTACACAATTTCTTTCCGTGAATGTATGTAAGTGTTTGTATTGCGGATTGCACAAAACAATGCCATTCTCTATATGCCAAACAGGAATTAAAACCGAAATCGTTTCATAAAAGTCAAATCGGATGCGCTTAGTTTCATTTTCTACTTCCAAACTTTCGGAATACTTGCTTCAAAAAACATAAATAACAGAACTTGTCACCCTTTTACCAATTAGTGATTGAGTAAATTAAAAGCACGCAAGGCGTAAAAACCTAAAACTGGGATATTTCTATTTGTGCGCGGACGAAAGTCTCATGAATATATTTGTGATTGTAATTACGTAATGTAATAATCGAACTAATAGGTAACCCAGAAAAGAAAATAGGTGGAAAAAATCTGGGCAGAGGGGTTGTCCCCCAGGTCCTCAAAGTGCACATTTGGCCTTAAATTAGAAGATTTGAAATAGATCACAAATGCATACATGTGAAATTCAGCTTGCTACATACTTACAATATTGAGTTACATTAGTAGCTTTTATATACATTTCTACTAAAAACTGTTTGATAACTTATTAAAATATCAAAAAGATAATTAGTATCAATTTGATTTCAGTTAGTATTCTAAGAAATCTCCTAATTTCTTCCTTTTCTCTCTAAATATATATCTGCTTCCCAGTGTTACCTCTGAGGGCTCAAACCGCTAAAAATTGGGATTCGATACTCGTGGTGACCACAGCACGCATGTAGTAGATGGTTGAGCTTAATCATAATCAAACAAATAAATTCATTATTGCCTAATTTCACGAACCACCACCAGAAATCTGGAAGCTGAACTTTCTGAAATCATTTGCTTTGAATCAGTTGCATTCAAAACCGTGTTACAGGATGTTTATCTACCAACCGCAGTGTGAGAAAAAATAACGAAACTCAGTTCGAACTTACCTCTACTTTCCGACGTAATGACGTTAGCACAAGCTTTAAAGTTGAAAGTCATTCGAGAATCGTCAGTACAAGGATGAACAGTTGACACAGGGTAGTTACATTCCCCGTGTCCACGACTGTAGGTAAAGGTAAAAGACCCTCGAAATGGACACGGTACTGGCACAGTGTCTACTGCCATACGGACATAAGACGAAAACAAATCTTTTTTTATATAAAGCATATGGAAATTGTTAATAGCATGTAGCGGCTAATACAATCTTTAGTGTTCTTGACCTATAACCATTAAAATCAATCTATTATTGTGCAAAACGGATAAAGAGACAGATTTATAACAATGATTAAGATGCACTTTAAACTTCTAGCCTTAAAAACTTCTGTAAGCATTTGCTTCTTATTTAAACTTCTAGATATAATAAAAAACATTAGCTTCTTATTTAAACTTCTAGATATAACAAAAACATTAGCTTCTTACTTAAACTTCTAGATATAATAAAAAACATTAGCTTCTTACTTAAACTTCTAGATATAACAAAAACATTAGCTTCTTACTTAAACTTCTAGATATAATAAAAACATTAGCTTCTTATTTAAACTTCTAGATATAACTAAGAAGCTAATGTTTTTTTTTAACATCGATACACACAGAAAACTCCAAGATTTAGATTTTTTCGTTAAAACTTCTTTTAGTATAACTTTTTCAAACAAATAAAGTACCAAAAGATAATGTTTCTTAAGAACAATTCTGTTAGCGTTAAAACTTATTAAAAATTTTAAACGACCGTATTCGATACGAAATGACAAATTATCCAGTTGAAATCTGCAAACATAAAATGGAAACATAATTTTAGTTATTAAAGCAATAAATAATAAAGTATAATCGTATTCATTCATTTTTAATTATAATCTGTTTGTGTTTAGAACGTCTTCTGGTAGCTCAGCAGTAAGTCAGTGGATTTATAACGCTAAAAATCGGGTTTCGATACCTACGGTAGGCAAAGAGCATATAACCCATTTGTGCTTTACAATATTTTTTGGAAATTGTATTTTTCTATATTCCGTATTATTTTAAGATGAAATACTCAGAAACATAGGTTAGGTTAGAAGTACAGGGAAAAGCCTGGGCTCATCTTTGTCAACAATAACATCCTATATTGTGTTGATATTTTGTTTGGGGAGTAACTACAACTCTCTTGTAAAGCAGCTTCAAGCTCTAGGTCTATCCCCTTTTGTTGATCTGTGCGTCACCTAGTGGTCAACATATAGAATTGCAGAGTGAAAGAACAAGGTTCGATTCTCAATATCTCTGGGAATACACTCCTTTCAGCTGTAAGAGCGTTAAAAATGTGACAATAAACTCCTTTAGTTGGTTAAGAATAACCACACAGGTGGAGGGTGCTGTTGACTGGTTACTCTTTCTTTCGTTGGTATTTCTAGTTTATGGATGACTCTACTTGAACTTTAATGGTCCCTGACCTGGCCGTTTATTCCACGTGTCGTATAAAGTGTCGTTCAGGTTAAAATGAGTAAAATACAAAAAAAAAGGCCCTTTCCCCCCATCTTCCACTATTCGAAGACGTTACTTGCTTCAAATTACTACTGATTACAATGTGTTTTGCTAGCATAGTATATTAGATTTTCTATTGTATCCTTGATCATCTTCTATTTCTAGAGACACTTTGTAAATTTGAACCGGACAGTTGTATTTTTTTACTCGTTAGGCAAGTAATGACATACCGAATTTTTGCTTAAAACTCCATTAATGCTTAAAATACTCTCGAATATCATTATTGCCAATTTTCATGGATTTAAAACTAATCAAAAGGTAGCCGAACTGCTTGGAATTCTATTGGATTTATAACCGAAAATACTGTTAATAGCAAGAGTGTCCAACGGAGGAATTTATGCAATCTAGTCATTACAGAGTTTCGTTTTATTGTGTGTGGATTTCTGGCCTTCATTAGCTTATTTTGTATCAGATGCCATTAGTATCTTCTGAGGTATATTAACATATTATTCGATAGGAATTATATTAATACACACACTGCTGTATAGTCAGAATTTCATAAAACGACATGACATTAATAACTTTCGTAACTAGTTCAAGTGAAATTAGCTCAAACCAGTTGGAACAGGCCCTCCATTTTTCATTGTTAAGGCGACACAGTTATATCCACAGCGTTCTTCAGATTTCTGTCACACCTAGGTCTACTCATTCTAAGCAAATTAAGTATGCTCGAATTCCAACCCTCAGGATACAATGATAATCAATGCTTTGCATTCAAGGCCGTGACAAGTGGCTTATGCGTTACATATCGGTGTGATGGATTCATGCCACCTGCAATGTGAATGTTATGGGTGATGGATTCATTCTAGATGTAATGAGGATGTTTTGGGTGATGTATTCGTGTCAGATGTAATATGGATGTTCTTGTTGATGGATACATGATTGATGGTTTCATTACAAATGCACTTACTGGATTTATAAAATATTTCGAAAACAAGATTAAGAAAAGTTAAAACGAAATCCTTGTAATCTGTCTTAGTGAAATTTCACCTTCATGAAATAGCTGTTAAAATTCTCAACTTTTGTTCGTTGTTAAGCACAAAGTCACACATTAGTTTATCTGTGTTTTGCCCACCGCTGATATCGAAACACGATTTCTAACATTATAAGCCCTCAAACTTGCCATTGAGCCACGAGGGCAAAATTCTCAGCAAAAATATATTGTAACATAAATTATTTTCAGTTTCTAATGTTCTTTATACATTAAAATAACTTTATAAACTCAAGAGATTATGATTACGATTGCTAATAAAAGCAATAGTATGGAAATCTAAAAAAAAAATATCTAAAGTTGTATATCTTAATCATTCGTGGATCAATACGAACGTGTTTAATATAAAAATATTTTGTTCGAAAGATATTCAACTTAAAAATGTGTTATGACTTTTATTCTCGTGAGGACAAGTTAACTGTTAAACTCAGTAGTTTATTATAGTGTGTTATTCAGATAGAACAACGTTTTTCCTTGAACAATACTTACGCCTAAACATGGAATACAGCAAGGCGTCTCCACTTATCTGTAGGCATAGCCCATCCAGCCACGGGCGCTCATTAGGTAACGAACAGTAGGCTAGAAACAAAAGATAACGTTCATTATACTGACAAGATCTCTGAGGATTGGGGACCAATACTGAGAGAAGATATTTGAGATAGCAAAACATAGCCAGTATTGAGATAAGATATTTGTTATGACAAAACATAGCCATTATTGAGAGAAAATGTGGTTTGACAAAACGTTGCCAGTATTGAGAGAAGATATTTATGACAAAACATAGCCAGTATTGAGAGAAGATATTTGATATAGCAAAACATAGCCAGTATTGAGATAAGATATTTGATATATCAAAACATAGCCAGTATCGAGAGATATTTGATATAGCAAAACATAGCCAGTATTGAGATAAGATATTTGATATAGCAAAACATAGCCAGTATTGAGATAAGATATTTGATATAGCAAAACATAGCCAGTATCGAGAGATATTTGATATAGCAAAACATAGCCAGTATTGAGATAAGATATTTGTTATGACAAAACATAGCCAGTATTGAGAGAAAATGTGTTATGACAAAACGTAGCCAGTATTAAGAGAAGATATTTATGACAAAACGTAGCCAGTATTGAGAGAAGATATTTGTGACAAAACGTAGCCAGTATTGAGAGAATATATTTATTTCAAACTTTTTTTTCTTATATCAAAATGTTTATAAGTGGTGATGATGTGTAGACCCTTTGAATCAGTTATATTAACTTTAACTCTATAAGTGGCCTCCTGCTGGGTTTTTTGTATGTTTTTTTATTTATACAGCAACATGATACTCTCAAGATTGGCTTGTATATGATTTTTAGTGGGTTTTTTGCAACTTCCGTCTGTTTTGTCTGTTCGATGTGCAATATTACAAACACATTAACACTTGTATTAACATTTCATGTGCTGATAACCTGTTTGAAGCTCAGAAACAAATAACCGCTGTCTTGTTTTGTGTATTTATTACTGTATTTATAATAGGTTTCAATAATGTTTTCCAAAAATTTTTTGAACTATGAAGAATATTTTGTATTATTAGCGTAGTATATGGATTGAGAACTAATTTGAATATTTCAAGATGAACGAATTTTATGAGATAATGTTGGGATTATGGCCGAAAATATCGATAAAAGCGAGGATAACCAAATAATATCATAATGCATTGTAATTAATTTAATGTTTAATTTTTTAATCACAGTTACCTAACTTTAGATCAAAAGATATTATATCAATATTCTTAAAAGTAACTTTTAAATAAGTTAACTTTTAACTCTTGGTTTTATAGTCATGAGACTTGGTACCTTTAGAAAAATATCTTACTTTGTTATCTTAATCAGTAAGACACAGTAGCAAAACTATGGAACGACTTTCGCAATATCTTAGCCAGTAATGGACCTATTTCTTCAGATTCAAAACTATAGTAATACTAGTTGAGCCCTGAAAATATTTTTGCATCTGTACGGTACACAATGTTTTTCGTATTTTTTTCGCTTTTTCTTAATAGCTCATCCCCCGGGAGTGATGATGCTTTCGTACATTACCAATTCCAATTTCCTGCTCACGGAAATAAGCTGCATTCACTATCTGCCTGAAGTTATAGCCCATTGTAAAGGATAGGATAAATAAAGACGATTTATGGTAAAACACTTAACCTTAATCTTAAAACCAAAATCTATTTTGTAGTCATACTTAAGAGGATGAAAATATTCCAAACAACTTTAGTGGAATAATGAAAAACCAAATAATTAATAAACGTAAGTAGTGTAAATAAGAACATATATTAAAATCCCGTTACTTAGCGATAAAAATAATCTGCCATGCAGATAAATACACTTTTTTATACGATCCTTATTCCTAACAGTTTTTAAGTAACATTTTATTTTAGACTTTACAATAAAAGGTTGCCATCAATAAAACACGTTTCTTATTCCTAAATAATAGCAATATTGTCCGGTATATAAATATTGATTTGTTTATCAATTTTTAAAAGGCTATCTAAGCAGCATGTAAGTTGAAAAAATAGGCTAATTTTGTCTTTAATTATGTTTAAAAGAAGTTGAATAACACAATTTCCAGTTAAAACTTACTTTCTTTATACTGAAGGACATTCATATGTTTTTCATGGATCACAACGCAACGGTAACAGGATTCCGTTCTGAAACAGAGATAAAAGATTTAAGTGTTTTTCATGGATCACAACGCAACGGTAACAAGATTCTGTTTTGAAACAGAGATAAAAGATTTAAGTGTTCTTTAGAAATATCCGAAAAAAATATGGAACGAATTTTTCATGTGAAACAGTCCCACTGAGTGTAATTTGGAGAGTTAATTACACTTTGTAAGAAAGATATTGTGGGTCTTAAAGTAATTACTTTTGGGGTAGGTTCTCCTACCATGTTTAGTGACGTAATTTTTATCTTATTGATTACTTAGTATCCGCACTATCATGGTGGCCACACATGGTGAAAGATGTCTAATATTATGTTGTTTTAGACACCTCAGCTCTTTCTTCTTTTGTTAGATGATATCTTCTGTCTGAAAGAGTATTTTAGTGTATTTTGGGCCTGGGTAAAAACTACTTCGAACTGAAATATTATTTGCAGGCCGGATTTCGACGTCAAATGAAACTAATAGCTGACCAATGCTGTTAGGCAACAGAGGTCAAGAGGTGACGCCGTCCGCTAGACAAAGAGAGCAAGTTGATGTTTAGAATCCAGGTGTTTTTGTTTTTTTATTACTCTGCTCCCATTTATGAAGAAAGAAAACCTTTTGAGGTTCGTTCGGCATTTAGTGTTTAGTCTTGCGAGAAGGAAGACTTCAAGACCAACCATTGCATAAATAGGTTGTCTTGTGAAATCGGTTGATTGGAAGTTATTAGTTATCGCTTTATAGATAGGTAGTTTTCCTGGAAGACCTGTCTTCGAACTTTGAAAATGGTAACAGCACTCCTGATTACCGTGCCGTACAGTTTATGTGGTTCTGTGTCTTCCTACAGGTGTGGTGATCTTCCCTTGCCAAGAATATACGCTATGTTATATATAGGTGTGGTGATCTTCCCTTGCCAAGGATATACGCTGTGTTATATATAGGTGTGGTGATCTTCCCTTGCCAAGGATATACGCTATGTTATATATAGGTGTGGTGATCATCCCTTACCAAGGATATATGCTATGTTATATATAGGTGTGGTGATCTTCCCTTGCCAAGGATATACGCTATGTTATATATAGGTGTGGTGATCTTCCCTTGCCAAGGATATACGCTATGTTATATATAGGTGTGGTGATCTTCCCTTGCCAAGAATATACGCTATGTTATATATAGGTGTGGTGATCTTCCCTTGCCAAGGATATACGCTATGTTATAGACAAGCATCCTTGAAATCGGTGCGCCCTGATCTTTGCATCCCTTGATTAGTTCATTATATGAATAATCTCCGTCGAAAAAGACTGTGCGATATTCATCCAAGCTTAAGTCTGTCACATCATTTTTATAAAGTGCAATTAAGCCTCTGCACTTATTTCTGTCACCTTATTTTTCAAAAATAACCAATAACTTAATATTAACTTCCTATCAGAGAAAGCTATGTGCTTAGCGCGATATTAGAAATCAACCTGTATAGCTAATTAGAAATAAGACATCCAGAAAAGTAAAACACGTTTCAATACTTGTGAGCAGGAAAAGTCTGTGGTGGAGTACCAATCTCTATATCCTGCAAAAGAGAATAATTAATGCAACATATGATAGTATTATATCCCTTTGTGCTACTATAGGAGATAACGTTCACTGTCCCCATGCTAAACTGGTTAACACATTCCTTGTTCAAGAAGAGCTTGCTCAGATGGATTGTAATTCACACTCATAAGATTTCAATTCCATCGAATGTTCTATAGAATGTTCTTGGAAGGAGGAATACATTCCATCAAGAGACTCCCGACACTAAAGATGTCTGGAAAACAGTTCTTCTTCAGAAGAATGGTCGGCGATCGATATCTTGGGCCTAACCAACACAATGACTTTGAGCATGAAACATCAGTTACAGGCTACACTTGCTGTTCGTGATGACCATATTCCACATATTCCATATTCCAGAAGATGTAAAACCGTAGCTACGAAATGTCCTTTAATTAGCGTAGGTTGAATGACGAATAAACGGCGTACGGATCACATGACTGATAATCAGAGGCACATTAACTGAAAGGGTACTTGTTATTTTATAGCAATGGCTTTGTCTTATTATAGCTAAACTGTTACAATCTATCTTTCAATTATATTGTACAGCGTGTATCAAAATCGTTTTCAAAAAATGAATATTAAGTTTAAATATTATTCATGGTAAGCTTTAAGCTACACGATCGATTAGATAAATAATTTGTGAGGTATCTATCATAAAAATTAAATAATAATTACCTGAATTGACTGAGATATATAATTGTGGTTTTATTATGGCAAGGGAAGATCATCTCTCATATATATAACTTATCTTACTACAAACAAGAACTTATGTGGGTCCAAATACACATAGAAATAAATATAGTTGAAATGGAGGTATTCCTTTCATCATACAGTACAGCTTTTTTATTTTGACTAAGAATGTGAATTAATTTAGAAAAAGGCATTCAGATAAGATACAATTACGCTATGTAAAACGTATATCAATGCAGAGAAGAATGTTCAAAGTGGTTGTATTGACATAATTAGACAATCTTCAAGATAAAATAATTTAGCATTACCGATATTTTTATATTCCACACTTTTTATTATCTATTTAATATTAAAGGCTTAATTAAACCTCCATTTATCTTCTCAAAAACATTAATAGGGAGTATCTGGACGACATTCAAAGAATCAAATCGCATTCCTATTGACTAATGCAAGACTTATTTCGTTGTATCATTTCCTCACGTGTTACATTTGTTTTACATGTAAAAACTGTGGTATTATTCGATTTCTACTGCCCATGAACAACCAAGTCGCAAATAAAATACAACTAGAAACACACAAATAGAAACAAGTACAAGCATTCCTGAGATTAACAATAATTCACAAGCATTCTTAAGATGAACAATAATTCACAAGTATTCACTTATTACTGAAATAAAGTAAACTACTTTATTTGAACTTTTCAAACAAAGTGCAAGTTCATACAAAAATAACAAAATCTTAAATCAATAGTCTTAAGTTTATGCATTCTTACAAAAATAATTGGACATTCCTATTAACAAAGATAAACCATACAACTTTTACATGTCTACAAGTTCTGTAGGGCGATATAGAAGGCTCCAGGATATTGTTAATCTTAAGAATACTTGGGAATTAACAGCTTATGAACACGTTAATTGACAAATATATTCATTCAAAAATAGAGAAAAACAATATACTTCAAGAAGTCGATGCTATGTATATTATCAAAGATACACACATATTTATATGTGTATATATATCTTGGAGCATGTGTGGGGTTGGGCGGGTACTATCAAAGATACACACATATTTATATGTGTATACATATCTTGGCGCATGTGTGGAGTGGGGGCGGGTACTATCAAAGATACACACATATTTATATGTGTATATATATCTTGGAGCATGTGTGGGGTGGGGCGGGTACTATCAAAGATACCCACATATTTATATGTGTATATATATCTTGGAGCATGTGTGGGGTGGGGCGGGTACTATCAAACATACCCACATATTTATATGTATATATATATCTTGGAGCATGTGTGGGGTGGGGGCGGGTACTATCAAACATACCCACATATTTATATGTATATATATATCTTGGAGCATGTGTGGGGTGGGGGCGGGTACTAT